CCCTACAGTCACACTACCATCATTTGCCCACTCCTTATGAACTACATGCTGTTAAAAACAATTGCATCTGGCCCAAAGGGTTGGGATGCTCTTCAGAGCCAGGATTTCACTGCAGCTGCATTGTCATGCTGCAGGCAGCTGCCAGTGCAGAGAATCTCTTGCCGTCCTCCAACCATGGGGCTGGGAGAACCCACACCCTGTGAAAGATCAGCTTTTGCCTTTGCAGTTCTCATCTATGAGTAGAAGGCAATAGCACCCAAAAAAGGATATTCAAAATTAGATTCCACGTTTGCAAACTGAAGACGTCGGGCAAAACGTCACCTTCTCCTCCTCAGTTCAGGTTCAGCCTTCAGGTTCAGCCTGGCCTGCCCCTGCCTCCGTCAATCCTGGTGCTCTGTTGGTGCTGTGGGAGTATGTGCTCTTATCATGGCAACCAGACACTTCAAATATAGCACCAAACATTGAGGTTTAGCTGCATGGATGGAGGAGAAAGACATAGACACAGAGTGTTCTCAGGATCTTCCCTCACAAGGAACTCAACATTTTTGCCACCTGCTTTAAACCGCATCGACCATGAGTTGTTGCCCTGTTCATTGCAGGTGTTCTCTGCAGCACGAGTGCACCAACTCCACGGGGACCAACTTCTGGGCGAGTGCGAGTGAAGGAGTGCAGCAGTGCCCCTCCATGACCATCCTGGAGCCCGAGATCAATATTGACAAGGAGAACCCGGTGAGTTTGATGCCAATACCAGATCAATCCCCTGCAGTGTCCGTGGAGCCGTTACCATTCGTGTCTCCAGCGGAGCAGCACAGCTGTGTGTGTGGGTCAGGGGGATGCTGAGCTCTGCTGCATACTGCTGTGTCAGGCCAAAGTTCTTGGAGGGCTGTGGGTGTCCTCCTGCACCCCAGGGCCTGGAGCTGGCTGGATGGCACACCTGTAGGCAAACAGGATCAATTGCTGAGCCTGAAGGCAAAGAGGACCTAGGGCTGCTGCACCAGACACACAGGGGAGGGTCACAAAGCTTTAAATACAGATGGTCAACTGCAGACAGCTGAGTCAGCTCATCTTCTGGCTCTGCATTGTTGCTGTTTTTGACTATTTCAATTATATTTTAAATTTTTTCATCAAAACACTCTCTGTTTAGAGACAGACCCTGTCTGTGGGCTTGTTTGGGCATCTCTTCCTCTGAAAAGCTAAAATGTTGACAGATTCTAGCTATAATTTTCTGTGATAATGACTTATTCCTTTGTCTGCTATAGGCCCTGATAATACAAATAAATGGAACTATCCCAAACCTGAATGGAACAAATATTTCGTGTGACTATGGAAACAACATCCACACTGTAGCCAGAGTCGCTGGGGATTATGTAAACCAATTTATTTACTGCAGTTTGCTCCCACGTGAGAAATATCCAGCATTTCCTGATGACCAAGGTATGGAGAGGTTCATTCTAACCACCTGTGTGGACACAGCTTTTAACAGGCTTTAGTTCTCTTTCCATTTTTGTGTGCAGACAGTGCATACAAGGAACAAAAGTCCAAAGCTCCTTCTGTTTTACAGGGCATATGACTCTGAAGCGTAGGAGTTCCACCATCTTTACATGAATTGACAGATTTCAAATGTATCAATTTTTGTTTCAAACACCAGAATTTAAATGCCAGTTCATGTCCTTATTTTAATCTGTTTTGAGCTGCTGCTTTAGATGTAGTAAGTACTAAGCCAAAAATGCTTTAGCCCTGGGCAAATAAGGTTGCTCCTTGTATTGATATTATCAATTGCTTTGTTTAACTTCTCTCCCAAACACACACTGCCTTCCTGGAGGAGCTGGGGAGGAGTGAGTGGGTACCTAAAGATGCTCAGGAAGTCTTAGCCCTGTTTTTTTAGAATCTCCTGAGTAGGAGGGAACCTGTGAGGATCATCAAAGTCCAACTTGTCATCCTGCACAGGATAACCCCAAAAATCCAAAGTCTGACAGAGGTGTCTAGTGTCCTGTTTTCTGATGGTACCAGAGGGGATGCCTGTCTTGAGGGTCCTTGAGGTGCCTCCAGAAGGGACAAGTGCCTGTGGTTCTGATCAAAATCAGCCAAACTGACCAGATCTGAGACTGGCTACTTAGCAACGGAGTCAGCCCCTGTCATAGTGCCTTTGGAGAAGTTCAGTGCTTCATTCCAGACTTGAGTGCCTGTTAAATTTTCATCCTTGGAGCCTGGAGTGAATGTGCTATTGAAGATGGCTGAGTTCAGTAGGCAGAGAATGAGCCAGTCCTTTTGAAAATCCCACTTTTCCTGGGCCTGTCTGTAAAGCTGCGTTGTTTTTCTCCCCAGCTATCCAGAGAATGGGAGATCATTAACTGCTCTGTATTGTTGGTTACGGCAATGTCCAAATGAATTTCTGGAATCCAATGCACTGATTTATTGTCCATATTCTGAAAGAGGCATTGTCTCTTCTCCCTGGTGCTTATATGGCAAAATTGCAATGAAAAAAAAAAATTAAGCAATTCTGGGGGAGGGGAGGTGGTATGGCATGTTGAGCAGCCAGAAAAGGGATTTCCACTCTCCTCTGTGGGTTTGCTGTCATGGGGAGGGTGAGTGGGGTTTTAAAACATGATAGCTAACATGTTTTAATTACCACATTTTTTTAAAATATAATTTAGCACCAACTGTACGTGAAGACAATAATTAAGTCTGCTAATTAACACTTGCACAACACGGTGGAATTTTCTGTTCTGAGAGGGTGGTGTAAAGCATTGATTTAGGAGGGAAGAGCTGAAAAGTCAGAGGGCAAAGGATGGCTGGTCCAAGCTCTGAAATGCAGCTTGGAGGAAGCCCTAGAGAAAACAAATCAGATTTAGCCCTTGTTTTCCCAAGGGTCTGTCTTGCCTACTACGCGTAAGCGTGAGCGAGGGGCTCCTGCAACCCAATATTCTTTGGCTTGATTCTCACAGACCACGTGGTCGTTGAGACTGCTCTCCGGGTCAACAGCAAAAACATTATCCGGGCCAATTTCACCATCTATGATTGCAAAAGGACTGGAAACATCCACCCAAGGAGAGCGTGAGTGATCCCAGTGTGCGGCGGCGGTGCCGGCGCAGGCAGTGCCGGGGTGAGGGAGGCTGGTGGGCTGGTTTGGAGCTGGGAGTGTGCCAGCACACAGCTGGGTGAGGGTCCCCCTGGGTGGGTTAATGGAGCACAGCCCCTGCCAGTGGGTGGTTGGGGGCCTGGGCAGCATTTGGCAGGATCGTGGGGCCTGCGCTGCCAGGGATTTACAGCGGAGGGTCCTCGCGCCATCCTCAGCCATCTGGACATGTTGGGTTTCTTTTAAACATCAATAATATTTTTGCGTTAAGCTTGTTCTGTTAACCCTTCAGCAGCAGAGCTGGACTCCCCAGAAATCTCTGGGGCATCTGTGGGGCCTTGGGGAAGGGAGGGACATGCTCTCTTGCCCCTTCCAGCCCCAGGTGGCAGCAGCCCCATGCCCCTGTCAGCAGGGTGGGCTGGAGCAGGGGTCTGCTGCCACCCCCAAAATTCATCCACCTCTCAGAGCATAACAGCAGGGCCTGACTGCAGGGACCCCCATGTCCTGGCACTCCCATGCCTGTGCAAACAGCAGGAGAGCCTTCATCCCACCAGATGTGCTGTGCTCCCTGGAGAGGCAGATGGGGGGAAAGTTTGTTGTTTTGGGAAAAAGTGTTTTTCACTAACCAGGGAACAGTGGCTCTCAGTCTGCTGTGACCTGGGGCCAGGCAGTGATGCCCAGGGGTGATGGGCTGTGCCTGCATCCCACACCAGCCCCCAGGGAGAGAAGGAGAGGGAAATCCAGCACCTGCCATGGGTTTTTCTGGGCAGCATTAAAAGCTGAGCAGTGTGAAGATGGGTTGCAGGGCTGAGGTGTGGCTCCCCTGAGCAGCCTAAATTCTATTTTTCTGACTGCACCTTTGCTGTTCCAGGTGCACCAGCTGCCTCTCAGCCAGGTGGAAGTGTCACTGGTGTCCCTCCACCTACACCTGTGTCTCCAACCACTCACAGTGTGACGATGCGATGCGGATGAAGGTGAGTCCTGTCACACTGCTGCTCAGGCTCTGAGCCTCCTCCAGCAGCAGCTGGCAATTGCTGGCCGTGGCTTGTGCCCAGCTGGAGTTGGGGCACCCTCCTCTGCTGGTGTCCAGGAGGGGGATGAGTGTGGGGCAGGTAAGCTGCAGCTGTGCTGTGCCCTGTAGGTGAGGGTCTGGCACCCTGGCTAAAGCATTCAGCTGTAGTGGTGCCTCCAGTGGGCTCTGTCCCTTGGCTCTCCATCCCATCTCATAGTTGGAGCAATGCTGCTGGTTTTCCACATCCTTTGGCTATGACAAGAAACACATCCATACTCCACCATTCCCTTAGCTCTGACTTGCAGTTGCTGTATGTTAATAACATGCTGGAGCTCCACTGGTGGTGCTCGTCTAGAGGAGAAAATCGCCCCTTTCCAAATTGCAGCTTTAATAACCCAGAGGCTCAGTGTGTTCCTGCTTCTGAAATTTAAATTGAAGTTAATTTAAATAAAATTGGCTTTTTAGCAATCAATCTGTGTAGAGCCAAGCCAAGCTTTTACACTGTAAATTGAATATCCCTTTAGCACTGGTGCTCTTGCTCTCAGCTCAGCTCTTCCAGCATTCCCCATGCTCGGCACTGACAGGAGTTTGGTCCCGTGTCAGATGTCCCACCCTCAGCCCCGGGCTGACCCCAGGGCCAGCTCTGGCATCCACTCCCCTCCAGCAGGGAGGACGTGGGCAACTGCAAGCACAGGGGATGAGGATGGAGCTGGAGCCACCACATTGCAGCTCCACAGTCATGTCTAGTGTAAATCCCTGAGAAAAGGGGATGGAAAATTCCCTGCTGGGTGGCAGCTCCCAGCAGCATGGGGCAGCGTGTTGGGATCAGCTGTGCCACCCTGTGTGTACCCAGGCATTTCGGGGAAGTATCTTCTGCTTTGTCCACTTCCCAGGTTCCAGTGTCAGGGGTTTCCTCTGGCTGTGTGGATGGGTGATGGGCACTGGTGGTTGCTCCTGTGGGGTGTCTGCCCTGTGCCCGGGGAGCTGTGCCAGGGGTCTGGTGTGTGCCAGGCTGCTGGGGCTGCAGGTGCTCATGCTGCATGTGCTGCCAGGCACTGGCACTGCTGCTCAGGGCAGGAGCTCGAGGCAGTCAGTCCTGGCAGTGCCATGGGGTGACATCAGGGCTGTGGGGTCGGCTGTGGGCTACCCCAGTTAGCCCTTGATCAGCAGAGATCTAACTTTATTGCTTCAGATCTACTCCAGAGGTCCATTTGGACTGGCTGCTCAGTTGGTTGGGCACGTTCTGATTTCTCTCTGTGCCTCCCACTGATCTCTGCGAGCAGCTGCAGGACGAGGTGCTCTGTAGCCCTGGAAACACAGTGCCTGTCGTGCAGTCGGAGCTCAGTAAACAAACCATCGCTGGCACGGCTGCACCTGAGCGCGGGAGAGCAGTGTCGCACCCGCTCCATCCGCAGCATCTTAAATATTCAGCCCCTTTGCCCTGCTCCAGACGTGAAGGATAGAATCAGCTGGAAGCTCTATTTCTGGTCGCTGCTGAACAGCAGGAGAAGGGGCTGCAAGACAACAAGTTAATCAGTCCTCTAAAGTGTATTTCTCTGGGAAGCTGTGCTGGCTCTGGTGACATGCAAGGACACACCAAGCCATGGGAGGTTTTGCATGAATTTTTAGTTTTAGCCCTGCTGGTTTCATTTTAACTCTTTTGATTCCCCTGGAAGAGGTTTCGGACTGAAATCCCTCCCGAGTGCTTTGCTTTGTTGTTTTGTTTCCCCTATCATGTGCATCTCTGTTATTTAATCTCCTTGTTTAGGCAGCACCAACTGTGCTTGGTTAGATGAGTGTCCTGACAGGAGTGAAGTGTGTTTTCCACAGTCAAACAGGCACTGCCAAGTAGTTCCCTGACCCTTAGCAAGGTCTAGGGAGGGCAGAAGAGAAACCTCCCACTTGTTGTGTGTCCCGTACCAGGGATGTGTTAGGACAGACATGCTGGTGTTGGGAGAGCAGACTTGGCTTCTCCTGGAAACAGCAGCAGCACTGGCATCAGTGGAGATGCAGCGGAGTAACCTTTAATGCAAGCCAGAGGAAATCTTGCTTGCTGCAAATGATTCTGCATAATGGACCAAGTATTTTGTTGTCTTTTACCCCAATGACTCCACTGTCACAGGCATTACTCTGGATGTAGCCTGGGGCCATGCAGAATCTGCCTTCATTTTTGCTGTAGTTTCGCAGTGTGATTTACATCTCATGAGAGAACAGGACGGGCTTGTCATACAGGCTGGAATTCTGAGTCAGCTCCAGTGTCTGAGACATCAATTTAAAAGGAGAACAAAAGTAGGGGGACAGATGACCTTTTAAAATCATTTTTCAGCTTCATTTAGGCCTTTCATTGCAGCTGCCCTAGTGCTGCAGCCCCCTCACTGGAGCCCCTGTGGCTCCTCATACCCTCCTCTGCCTCCTTTCACTCCAGCCCTGTCGCTGCCGGAGCAGCAGCCGAGACGTGGGTACACACCACTGTGCACTGACCAGTGAAAGGAAGCTCAGCAGGGGCCCTGATGTGTCTTCTTGCCTTGTTGCTGAGGACACTCAACATGCCCCCAGCTAACCACTATTTCCCTTGCTTTTGTACCTAACAGAAGACAATTGACTGTCCCCGAATCGTACCTACCACGTTGGAGCCGATGCCCACGGGAGTGTCTCGGGACATCATGATCTCACTGGCCAATGCGACTTTCCCTAAGGTAAATGAGTTCCTGGAGGGATCAGGAAGGTTCAGGTGTTTGGGGGAAATAAACTCCTGGTTCCTCTGTGGGTGTTTGCTCCACTGCAGAGCATGCCAGTGTCATGCCCCCCAGGACCATGTGCCAGCCTGGCCCCAGCGCCCACACTGAGCAGTGAAGGACATGGCCCCGAGCCATAGGCAGCGAGCCCTGTGCTGGCTGAGCCACAGAGCTGAGTACAGCATGGAAACATGGTTTGACTTAACTTCAGGTCATCACTGCAGAGCTCTTGTTTGGTGTCAAAAAGTCCTTTCTGTGAGATTTCCTGGCATGCAGATTGTAACGGGGGGAAAAGCAGGAGTGGACATTGAATGGTGCCTTCAGAGATGTACTGCATGCCAGAAGGAACCAGAGGAATTTGGGGCAGAGAGGTTGGGCACTGGGACAATGCTTGAGTAAGCTCTGGTGTTTGTAGAAATCCACCCTGAGTCATTTTGGGTTAGTTCAGTGGGGCCCGTGGGGCTGGGTTTGCTGCATCCCTGCAGAGGATTTCAGCACAGTGGGCAGCCAGGCAGCTCCTCATTCTGCAGGGGAGGAAAGGGTTGGGAGTGCTCTTGGAACTGTTCTGGGGTGCCTGAGGGTGCTGCCAGGGCTGTGGAGGCTTCGCTCC